GTAGGTAGGTTTAGAAGCTGGTACATCGCTAGAAAGCTCTCGTTTCCAGGCGTCAAGGACGCTGTCGACAAACTTCTGAGCGAAACGTCGCTGCGGTCCGGAGGTGAATTGCTTGTTGGCTTCTTCAAGCTTGGCGCAGAAGGCCTGGAAGACCATTAGTTTGGCGTCGTACTCTTCCGCGTGTTTACGCGCGAGATCATTGGCCGATTCGATAATAGAGATTGGTTGCTGTTCAGGGGTCGATGCGGGATTGGCACGCTCAGCTCCTTCCGTAGCTGCAGCAGTGGTGGCGGCGTTGAGTGGCGAGGACGGTGTCTGGGCCGTCCGCCCAGGTCTGGGTGAAACACCAATGGGGCTGTTCACGACCGCGGGGCTGTTCTGCAAGAGGGCTGCACGGGCTCTTCGGTTCAGATTAGCGGGAGTGTGGACCCCTAGATCGAAGGGGTCCGGGGCGACAGGCGGGATCGTCGGAGACGAAGCCATCGCTGCGACTTGCGACTGCGCAAAGCGCAGATTGAAATGTTTGTTGTGCACTTGTTAAGGATTTTGGTGTAGACAGGGCCACTTTCTTAACACTTGTATGCCAAGAAAGTGTGATGACGAAGGAAGGTGTGCTTTCCAAGGTCTTTTCACAAGTTCATTGGGTGCAGGGTGAGAAGACATGACACTCGTATCAAAGCTTGCCATTGGGCTGAGGTAGCTTCAGGGGGTCATCCGGCGAGGATCGGAGAGCATGTATAGATCTTCGGAAAGCGAAAGAAGGAGGAGGTTGCCACGTTAAGACTCTAGGCCCCTATCCTTTCGTGGTGACAAAGCTGCTGTAGCCGCAGGTTCACTTTCACGTCTTTCGGTTGTGGGGAGATATTGAGTGGAAAGATCGCCTGATGATTGTGCTTGATCTCGTACACTCAACCCAATATTTCACCGGGAGATTCTGAACGGACGTATGATATATAAAAATGCGAATCGGGCGAGCGAGGTAAATGTGCCGAGGAATCGTTGCTCTAAGAATTGGTGTGGATAAGCTCATCAACTCGAAGGGCGTAGTCCACTGGATGGTGTGGCGGACTGCGGAAGGAACTCGTGTATGGAGATTTTATTTACGCTGCCAGTCGAGTACATGTGATGAGTACTTAAGGTGCCGAATTCAACGCAGTAGTGTCATTCTAGGTTGGAGTGTAAGTGGAGAGAGTGAGACCGGACAAGGAAGGGCAAGAGCAATTAGAGGAGTTAAGAGTCTAAGAGATGAGAGAGACAAAGCGACAGAAGACAAGAAACAAGATGGCAGTAAAATTAGACAGCGCATGGAGAGACCTAATAAGATAAGAAAAGCAAGTAAGTCGGGCAAATATTGTAGAGCCGGGAAGGCTGAGACGGAAGCGCGAGTAAAACTAAGAATGAGTAGTGTTCAAACAAAGGGCGACCTTTGTGGGGCTAACAAGAGTCGGCGACGCCATCTAACTTAGTACATGAATACATCGACTGACGGAGGAGGTTATGGGCGAAACCTCGTCGTTGTCTTCTTCTGCAGTAGTGCTGTTCTCAGTAGTGTTGGATGGCTGAAATCACCACGCCTCCACCCCTGCCGATCGACAGTGTCGTGCAAGGAACCCGGATGCTAAAAGACAATGTTACTCTGACAGGCAATGCCAGATCGACGAGCTGCAGAACCCCCTGGACATCAACGTCTCCCTGCAGGTCGATTTCCTTGTCACCCGGGATCCTTCTCGACCAGGCCAGCATGCCACCATTCAAGCAATCAATACATCCTTGGGATCGGACAACCCTCTTTGTACGGGCAAGCAGCGAATGTAGCGCCGCGGGACGCTTGGCCCGTTGAGCAGGGGAGAATCATAAACACGAGATCCCCGAAGGAGAAGTGGGTTGCGAGTGGGGGTTTGTTTAATATTGGCTGTCCATTGACGGGGCAGACGGAATGCGGGTCTGTAGTGGAGAAGCTGAAAGGGTGGGGCCGCGGGTGTACTCGAGTACAAAGAACGGAGGCAAGCTTAACAGCTGCTGCGGCACGGTAGCGGCAACGCGTCCCCATGCGCAGCGGTGCACCTCGCTAAGCACGGCCCTCGTTCTCCGCCAGATCGGACAACGTCCATTGCAGAGATGTTTCACATGCAGGCAGTGGATCTCCTCGCCTCTAGCCCTACAACGAACACAGGAACGCAAACCGCAGAAATGACAGTCTCTGACGTCATCCCGACCGCTTCTCGGGTTTGCGCCGGCTGGAGATGCATCCGGCAACCTCTCAACACGGTTTATCCAGGTTTGACGTGCGCAAATTCACATCCCCTAGGCACACCAAGCGAAGTCGATTGCGGGCTGGTAAACCTTTGCTTTCTTATTCCTTTGGTGATTTATAGTTGAGGCAACAAGGCATCGAGTATTGCACTCATCACTGAGTCATATCTGCTCAACCTGACCTTTCGGAAAACAAGTCATGACATCCAAGATTATTTCGTTTTGTCTACAAGTCACAGCGAGCAATTTATAAGAGAATTGATTAAGAACAGAACATCATGTTTTCATGTCCTTCCTATTCGAGGCTTTCTCGACACGTAGAACATGAATATGGCGGCTTTATGGAAAAGAGGTTGGATGATCAGAGGCGCTGAATTTGGCCTTGATAGTAGCATGTACGCCGGAGACAAAGAAATGGAACCCGCCAACAGGCAGAATGGCCAAGCGATTCTTTACGTCGGTTTCATAGTTCAAGTACGTGTATGCTTATCAATTCAGCAATTCTCTGATGGTTGTGTGCCTAGCATACCGCCCACACGTTTTATGACCCAAAGAAATTCAAAGGAAAACAAGAAACAAGACAGTCCACGGGGAGGAGATAGACAGTCCACGAGTGCGTGCATAAGATACGAAAGAGGAATGATGATCTCCGTCTGGAATATTGCTGGCCAATCCTGTGACTCCTAATATCCCACGCTACGTTCACGTTTACAAAGACAGACTCATTGGATTTGGAGGATTAAAGAGATTGGAAAGCATCTTCTTGGATGGAAATTTGGCCTGTTTCTGATTCCATGTTGCTGTGCTATTCACTGCCCTTTTCTTGATTCATAGATATTCCCCTAATTATTATTTAATACCATTTCCTCCATAGATTGTGGTCAGAATATGGCTTCTGATCGACTATGCACAAATCTCGTTTCTCTATTGTGGCCAAACTCTGGTTGGGATCGTCCTCACAATGGTTTGCATTATTGTCACTCAAGATGAGAAAATCGAATTAGCAGCAAAGATCAGCATGCTCTCATGTAAATGAAACAAGAAATGGCAATTTCGGGCAGTTTTCTCTTCACGGTAAACCAGTGACTAGATATGTATTCTTTGAGAATAATGGATCATTGAGAAGTGTCCTCCGGCCAGGTAGAGTGATGCATCAATATCATCATTCGGCACCAATGTAGTACCTGTAACTCTGCTAATCCTGACACAGGTATCGATAAGAAAGCCCACAGTTAGTCATCAGGTCTGGGCCTCTTCGGCTGGACTCTCACACAGGTTAAGATTGCTAACATGCATTCACACAAGTCTTTTCCAGGGGCCTTTCGGTACAGCAAAGCTCCATGACACAAGCTCACGTTTGCCCATACGAGACAATGCAAACAACTTCTAATATTGTATAGACAGACCCATAGTACCGACTGTTATTACTTTTCTTTTGGTCGTAGCGGGCAGCTTGAGGAGCATTGTCAAGATACAGCCAGATGGTGCGTGAAGTCCAGCCGTTACCACACATCCGATACGAGCGACACAACCCAGCCTTAAGGCCCCACCTCCTGCTTCAGGACGAATCGGTCTTGTGGGTCAAAATACAGTACATCAAATAGCTGCGGGGTCGATTCAGGGAAGCACCAGTAGCACTCCAGGTTTCCAAGTCGGCGATCTCTACAGGAATGATGCACTCTTTTTCATCGGCGAGCAGCAAAATTAATAATGGAAAGCTTTGTCTTCTTGAGCAGAGAAAATTCATGAACAATAGAACCCCTAATGAGAGGTGGGTTGCGAGCGGGATTTATGTTCAACGCTGGCTATTCATCGCCGGGGCAGACGGAATGCGGGCCAAGCTTAACAGCCACTACTGCACGGTAGCGGCAACAGATCCCCATATGCAGTGGTGTACCGGGCGAAATAGACTTGTCTGTGTAGCGAACACCATGAGTGCAGTGAAGGATCAAGCAGTAAGGAAAAGGGACGACTGAAGCTGACTTCTAAGTGGACGAAGTGACGGAGGAACGAAGGCCCGTCGGCGTTGACCACAGAGAGCGCAGCGATCGGTCTGGTCAAACTGCCCCACCTGAAGCAGGGGCGCAGTGGGGTATATGAGGGACAAATTCCCCCAGAGAAGTTTGAAATAGGATTTCCACTTTCTTACTTTACGTCCAGTAAGACAACTCTCATCTGGTATATTCATCAGAAACGAAACTGAACGGTAAGTGAAGGTGGTTTATTGAGACGAGTCAATTACGAACGAGTGAGTGACTCCGCTAACGACGAACAGGAGTACGTGGACAGTTACACGTCTATTAGTAAGTGGCAGCGACAGCGACCGACTTCAGCGAAGGATCGAGCTGATTGTGTTAATTCTTTCAGTTTCAGGAGCCAAGGCGCACAGGACTGAGTGAGGGACGAAGCTCTTATACGATAGTGCAGACGCTAGTCTTTTACGAACTGGGTGAGTAATCTTCCAGTTACAACTTTGTTGTTCTCGGCCAGGGACGGATCTGGTGTCATCATCATCGAATAGATGAACCGAACAAGGTGAGGGGATCGTGAGATCTAAGCACGAACGGGGTGAGTGTGGCGACAGGCGGAGGTCCGTGTGAGTGGAAACGAACAGTTACTAATCATGACGTAGGAACGAGAGTGTCGCGACGAAGAGATGAGTCGATGCTAAACAATTAGTGAAGGATACACTGTTTTGTTTAGGTAGAACCTTTACTGTCCAAATATCAGGAGCAAGGAGTGCGACGATGAGTGACACGAAATCAAACCAGACACGAAAGCCGGAAGGCGGTGTCTCCCACTTAACGAGTGCGGAGCATCAGGAGAGAGCGTATAACGGATTGTCAGACGACGAGAGGTTCTGGGTGAAACGGGCGATGGAGTATGCGATACGCGAGGAGTACTGGGACGCGATCAGCGCATTCGCGTCTGACTTGAACAGATCAAGCGGCACTCCTGTGTTTACCATCTATCAGACTCTCTTGAGATATATTGAGAGTCCGGAGAAGTTCGAAGAGGGACTTCTCGGGTTTTTCAAGATCGAGCGACGGTGAACTCTTGGCTAGGTAGTGGCGATAGCTCCACGAATGAGAATGAGTGATTGTGAAACAAAAATGAACAGAGCGACCGAAGACGAATGATAAACTTAAATTTAAATCTTCAGTCGTAATCATTTTCGTGGTAGAGAGTGACACGAGCGAACAATAAGTCCGAGTTAATAGAGACAGTGAGTGAGTGAATGTTACTGCGAACATAGGCGTAGGTATAGGCACCAGAAACCAAAGGTAAGGGGTGCAAATGGAACTTGGTGATGGAATCATCGAACTACCGTAGGCCGATACAGAAGCGTAGGCTGAAACTCAAGGGAATCACCCAATCTCCAGATGGACGATTAGGATTCCGGAATTGTGCGCATGCACATTAGTAGATCGTAAATGTGAGGTGAGAGACTAACGCTGTAGACTGAAAGAAATTGTGAAGTATTATCATGAGTACGGCAGGACCAAAGATCTACGTCATCTTGTGATGGTGACGTACTCGGCATTCCGCTAATAATGCGATCAAAATCTGCCCTTTTGCAGAGACCATCGGCTTCTTGTCTGCTCTACTACCACCGGGCCTCGAGATTGAGGCTATGGGAATGGGCTTTAGTAATGTCGAGATGCCGGGGCCGCAGCTTGCTGGCGAGACGGTAAGGCCTGAGAGGTATGGCGCTGGATCAAGGGCTGAGATAGCGATGAGGCAGGGATGGCAAGATGTAGGGTGGGGGTTTGAGTGCTGACGCTTTAATTGGGATGATGGTGTTGGGGCAGCAATTGTGATATATTGTTCCTCAACAATCGTGCTCGCTATGCTCGTACAGTGATTGATCCCAATTCGTTGATACAGACACGCGTAGAAAGCCCTTGTGGTTGTTGTATTGTTTTTGTCGAAACGCAGAATAAAGCAAATAAAACCCAATTGATCTGATTGGCATGTCACGAACTACCCCAGCTCCGTCGCGTGTGTTCCATACCGTCCGTTAACCCAAGCGCATTCAATCATTTTCCCATCACGACTCCTCCAACCCAATCTCCCTCATCGCATCTCTTCTTAGAAGCGTTCCCATTAGTCCCCGTCTTGTCCTCCGGCGCAGTCGCAAACACCAGCACAGGCTGGTACAGCTGTCGCCCATGCGGACTGTGAACCTAGATGTCGTGAGGCAACAGTTGCTGCTGGGACTTAATGGCGATGGTTCGTTGGTGATCAACGTCATGTTCCGACAGCCGACAGGAGAGCGGGGATGGAGAAGGCCTCGACGTGATCTTGAGGCTGATCAATAGGCTTGAGACGCTGCGTCGATCCCGTAGCCTCACATGGCATGCAGTGATTCTGACTCTGACTCTCCTTCTAGGGTTTGTTACCGTTCTCTTTAACTACCTGACACATGGTTTTGGTCTTGGTGATTATATTGGTGGTGATATATTATGAAAAGGGGAATTTGAGTAGTACGGGATGATTTATTGCCAGTGAACATTGGGAAGGGGGGGCATTCATAGTTCAGGCACGTGTATGCTTCCCAATAAGGTAATTATCTAGACTGACTCACCGCCACCCGTGGTGTCATCACAACCGTATAACGTATTTACAGCCTATGCTTTTGGTGTATTATTTTTACACTGTTTTCTTTTATCTCCCTCGATATAATGTACCAAGTTCTTTTCAGCCTGGTAACGAGCCGAGATAATCTATTCAATCTAAGGGAAAGCTTTGTTGGGGTCAAATTGAACGGCGGCTCGGCCAGTCGCTCTCTTATTGCTACTGACGCCTTCAGCACCACTTCCCCCCACTCCCTCCAGGCGTTGAATTTCACTGATCTTCTAGTCGATATATTTCATCGCCTTCTTCATAATACAATTGAAGTCGCGAATAAAGGGAATTCATTGATTTTCAACGGCTTCCAGTTGTTTTTGAACATCACGCTTCCTTGGGGCGTACCCCAGATCGCAGCAGGAATTACTTGGCCTTCCTTGGTGTTAGAGGCCCGTTGAAGCGCTCGCGCTGCTTCTCCCTTGACTTCAACGCCGCCAACGCCTTCTATAGATTGATCGGGAAAAGCCCAGAGGCCGAGAAACCATTTACTATGTTCTTGCAGCTCAAGGCTGTCAATGAAACCCTCTCATAAGCTTTTAGGAAAAGTTGTTGTTGGTGCGGCGAGGCTGCTTCGTATCAGGCCCAAGAGCGGGCAATTGGCAACAGTACGTTTTCAACGGCCCAAATATGACAACATCGAGGGACTGAGTAATATTTGATGATTTTGAGGGTAAATAAGAGAGCAAAATCTTATGCAGCCACGCTTTATTCATTAATTCCGATGTAATATGTGAATTATCCTGGTCTAAGACCAATAGTCTCCATTGATCACGATCCTTCGGCTTAGTCTGCGGTGGATACCCCCATAAACAAACGGAATAAGATGTCGCTATTAGAACGATCGGCTGGACTACAAGTGTACTTCCAAACAGGAAAAACGGCTAGAAGCCACTGTTCTTGGAGGTTCATGCCGGTAAACCGATACAGGTCGTGAGACGCCGACCGGCCCCTGATACGGACTCGATTATCGAGCTCCAAGTCGTATTGTCAGATTTCATCCTCTCTGAGGAAGAAATCAACGCCGTTCCGACTATTATGCCGCCATTGATCTCACCGATTTGAACGGCGGTCTCGTCAACGTTGTACATATAAGGCCTAGTTGTCTTCTTGGTGTTGACTACACAGTTAAGACCATCATGGTACCGGGAAAGTGACTCCTCTGTCATACAACGCTTCCTCGCGGATTCTATGACTCGTGATGGCGGATATATAATCTGTCAACCCAGTTCTTGCCGATATACCAGGCTTGCCCGGTGACTGATGATAACGCCTCTGCGAAGTCATGGGTATCCTTCTTCGTGAGAGGCTGAAAAGCGCGCTGTCGTCCGATAACATGACTGACTAGATTATCTTTCTGCTCTACAGAAAGCGACCGATGTTTCTGATGTGCCGTGCGGATGGCCCGGCTCCCGGCGCATCGATCATGCAATGCTGTGAGCTTGACCGAGTGTTTTACCACGTCCTTAATGGACAATAACATCCTCTTTTCATGATCTGACAGCTGCGATTCCGTTTCCACTGAAATAAATAGAACCGGGTTATATTTTATAATTACAGAATAAAACGAAAAATCCTGTGTTGACGACGCGGTGATAATGCTGAAGTTTGTGGGGGTGTGTGGGTTGGGAATGCCTTGGCCTGTATGCCTAGCATACTGCCTAGCGCCTGCACGCTTTATGACACAAATAAATTGAAAGGAAAAAAAGAAACAAGATAATCCTTGGGAAAGAGATAGATAGTCAAGAGTAAAGAGTCACGTCTTGTTCAATCCCCGTACCCTGAAGGAATTCGTTTCGCATCTCCTGCGCCCTTTCAAAATGCTCGAGACCTGGTTTGCTTCTCTCGCTCTCAGCCAGTCTCAGTGCTAGTTTCACCACGCTGTTGATCTGGTACGTCGTTCTCATTAGCCCCAACTCGCGACTTAGTCTTACTTTTTGCTGCTTAGTGGCTACTTTTCGACGTACCTGTGAGATTCCAAACTCTCCTTTTGCTAATGACTGGATTTCCTTGTCTGAGAGCTCCACCCCGGCTTGCGCGACCATGTTAGACCAAATTAACGTTGCTCCCTTGGGTCCAGCTTTCTCGAACTTGACTCCAAGCATTACGGATGGCCAAAACTCGGATCGGACCCATTGAGCATACGATGTTGTGATGAAGCACATGACTCCCTTCAATTTTCGCAAGTCGTCCGCCAAGCACTCGAGCCCGATAAAGTGGATGGGTGGTACATGCCTACCTCTATCTACCATGGCGTTGATAGGCTCTTGGATGTACATAATAGCTCCCCACCGATTACAAAATTCATAGGTCCAATTCGATGGGGAACTTTGAGGATTGGAGAGGGGCGATACCTTGAAGTTGGTATCTGCATTAGCGCTATTCTAAGATCTCGTATAAAAGAACATAAACTCACATTAAAGACAGGGCGTCTCAACTCTTCCGCAATGACCTCGACAGTCCATTTCTTTCCCGAGTTGGTATCACCACTGTGTCTCTAGTTAGTCGGCATCCTGGATACACGCCATATGAAGATTATAGAAGGACCGACTGGAAAAGGATGACCGTCGATTCCTGATGACCGAAACTGGTCTTGGTGACATTCATAACCTTTTCAATTTTCTCCTTCGTGTTGTCAGCAAGACCAACATTCTTGGCCACCGAGATATCGCGCCACTGCACAGGCCGAAGGCAGTCGATCGCTACCGCGCCTATATCATTAACATTAGTCTTCAGTTCTTGGCCTGCAACGGAACGCTGCTTTTGCTTGAAACATACCCAATTTCCCCCCCAATAGTGCTATCGCCGGTAGTGTTCCGGAGCAGATGAGGAGTTCCTTGTCAGTCAGCTTTTCCGGGTCCAGCCACGAATTCCGACGCCCCCGAACGATTTTCGGCACCACAGAAGGAGATTGAATCTTGTTCAAGGCGCAGTCAACCATGATGCGTTTGCCTTCCCAGTCTGGTGTCATGTCTGACCCATTGACGAATGCCTTCCCCTCGTACTCTCGGTGGTGGAAACAGTCGCCGCTCGATAGCTTTATGAACTCGCGGCCCCGGGACACTAATCGTTTCTCTAGCTCTTGGGAGTCCTTGTGGTATGACAATGGGTACAGGACAAGATCGCAAACGTGTTCCTTTCCCACAAAACTTCTGATAGAACGGGTTTGCTTGTGATAACCATATTTACCGGAAGTGGTGTCAATAGTTTGCACAGTTAGGCGGAGCTGTCGTTTGTCGTTATCGGTGAGCTCCTCAACCTCTACAAGACTGGCACAGACTGTAAGATCTTTCATACCGCGGAAGTTTTCCATTACCATAATCTTGCCCGGCTCAAAGAGCGCCCATAGGTACTCAAAATCCGCAGTCATAGTGGCCTGCATCTCCTCTACCTTTGCCTCAATGGTAGAGTTGAACGAGATGGCCCAATATACCAGAAGTTGTAAAGCACAGGATACGCTACTATGGCCATCTTCGCATCTGCAGTACTCGATAAGCCGAGCCATGAAATGGTACAGGCGCTTGGCGTTGACCTATATGTAAACAATGAGCAGAGAAGGGGAAAAAGAATCAGGTCTTATGATAATTGTGAAGGACTGCAGGAATGGTACTTCGAGGACTTGAAGGGACGCGAACGAGATATATCTTACAGGGTCTTGACCAAAACCAATATTTCCGTGCCAGATATTTCCGGCTAGTTCGTTAAGCTCTTTACGTAGAGCGTCGTCGTTGATCTTGATAAAAGTGTCCGTGTAGGGCGGGGTGGTGAGGTCTGCGTGAACTATAATGGATCAGGCCCTGCCTCGTGTACAAGAAAAGCCTAAGAGGATAACATACCGTACGTCACCTCCAAAATGTTGAAGGGTGCTGGTGATGAAGTAGTCGTCGAATGTTGTGCTAAACCAGAAGGGACACTGCGAGGAAAGACGATGTATTAGTCGTTCGTTTGAAAATGTCATGTCAGGAAAACACCTACATCACGGACACTGTAAGCTTTTGAATCTGCTCGTCGAGAGATGCTCCGCTTTTAGTAGCCTTTTCTTCTATGTCACGCCCAGCGGCATGCCCAAATTGGTGTAAAGAAGAGGTTAAAGCTATACCGAGGCCTCTGTGGCCTTGGAGCCAACCTCGCTGGCACAATTGCTCAACGTATTGCATGAGAAGTCGTGTTATGTTCTGACGTGTTCTGAACGAGCGTGAAGAGATAACAAGACGAGGAGAGTTGGAACAGCGACGCTCTACATCTTTTATCTTCAGCCAGTATCTATTACTGGCTTTTCTCCCCTGTTCCCGCTTATCTCGTGCTGCCTCCTTTGGAGTGTTCCGTCTTCCCGCGGTAGCCACACTAGAGATTACATACTTGGCTGCCTCGTTTAGGTGAGTCACCGTTAGGTAGCCATACTAATGACAACACACGTTGCAGGCTACCATGTGATTGTCACCACGTCCTTGCCTCGTCTTTACAGCTGTTTCATTGGCTGCAAAGGACTTGAAAATTTGGTTGGACTGAGCCTGCGCTAGTGTGAATAGAGACTCAATATTGCCGATCTCCCCTACCCAGCTAACGGATCATTTAATTTGTCCCATATCGCATATCAGGAAGTTCGTCCCGGCCGTTGGTGGCGGGGCGCCGAGCTTGAGCCTCTAGATTATAGACTGACGTAGGGGAGATGAACCCTTGTTATTGCATCCGCCCGTTAGGTATTATATGGAAGCTCAGTGAAGCCTAGTAGGCGGCTGTCTTGAACCCCCGCCAAACCAAGATCACTTACAATCGGTGACGAAAAAGGCAATGCCGTTGAATCAGTTCCCGTCAATGACATAGGCTTTCGATGTAACATGAATAAATATTAGACGACACTCTCAAGTCAACAGATCGAAAAGTCCCCGGCCCCACTACGCTCAAGGCCCGGTGCGCGCGTATGTGTATTGTTGGCCGATTTCCCGTCTTCAACTAGCAGATCGTTGAATTTAGCTCATCACACATAAGTGTGACACCAGGCGCCAGCGGCGGGCGCTAACTTCAGCCTTGAAAGTTGTGCGGTGACGGGTGTGAGACGGCTGAACCCCGTTGCATGCCGCATCCCTGACATTCGGTTTTCGTGTATTACCTGACAGCCACAAACAGCTACCTCAGTTGTAACTCCCCTGAGTGGGTACCATCCTACCAAAGACAGACTCAATTAAGTTACCCTTGCTCTCGGTGTTAGTTGGTGGGTTCTTCGTGACTGGGGAGTGAAAGGCAAAGCGAATTCGCCCAAATGCGGCATTTTCACAACGAGAAAATGCTTCCAGTCCACTAGTTAATGCAGGTTGCTATCCGAGACAAGCAACGCTCTGTTGTTTCTACAATCCTGTCCGCCACAGCTCCACTAGACGTGGTAATGTACTAGTCACATTAGCGTCTACAGCATTGACGATCTGTTGTCTCTTCCCTTGATTACCTACCGTCTTTCGCCTTCATCCCCGGTATTTGGCCTCCATGGCCCTTGTTATCAAGGAAATAAGGCATAAGCGATTCCCCCACCGTTGGTTTTGCCGTAGAGTGGTGCATTCAGCGTGTGAGCACCGCTCATCCGAGGGTATGTTTAATCAGTCTAACGATAGCGCGAGCAGGGACGGGATACAATGCAAACTGGCATTTCCGCAGCCTGCCGGGCTCACAGTACCCTTGTTCTCAAAATGTCTCCAGGGACTACAAAGCCCAATTTAGCACCGTCCAGTGCAGAGCCTGACGGCACATTTGGCGCTTCAGGGGTTCATGATCGTCAATTCAAGGGCCTTGTCGGCCATTTTGCAGGCTACCAGCCCTGCTTTTGAAGCCAGTTGTATTTTATGCAAGGATCAACGCAAACGCGGACCTTGACTAGCTTAAACAAAGCCTTATCTTTGGATGCTTCTCGCCACCAGATGCTAGTGACGAGTCGCAAACTACAGCCCGAATGGTGGAGAACTCCGGCGAAACGGAAAACCCTTGTTCATGCAAGATCCCAGTCACTGCCTAAACTATTGGGTACTTTGCAGCCGCCTCAGGGTACCTCCTCTTGTTACGTTTCTGTGCGCTGGACGGTGATGACTTCTCTTTGGGCTTCACATGCTTCACTCGATGATACTGATCTGCCGTTTTCATACTCAAACTAGTTTCGGTTGGCATTGCTAAGTAGCGGTGTGCTCAATCTGTAGCTATGTATCTCCTACCTAGTAATCAGCCTAGGAGTGTCTCCTAAATCACCGAATGTCTCGAACCCTGTCGTCCCTGCGTTGTTTCCCCTTCGAATATGAGCAAACCTATAATGTTTCATAGTACAATAGCTTCTTTGCTGGTTCATCAGCATTAGACGGGGTTCTTGAAAGCAGTGTCTTGGCCACTTGCCATACATAACACAGCTGCACAATAGACTCAAATTCGAGAGTTTGTACGGCTTCGAAGATCATGATCTATCTCAAGGCGCCTGCAACTCTGTTGTGTCACAAATGCAGCTACAGCTTGATAGTTCTCACTGGTTCTGAGGCCAGCCCGCACTTCGAGCCTCAGCTGCGCCTCTAAGTTGAGGCCGCAGGATCCTGGGACATAGAAGTCTCGCGTTTGTGGACTCTTTGCGAGGTAGGCCTTTGTGAATTGCGAGCGTCTTGTTGCATCATAATCGAGACTTTTGACACGGCCTATCGTAAAACCCCAGGAATTGCCACAGGGATATGACTCCGCGCCTCTCGGATCGCTTCCGAATGGTTAGTGTACGGTAAGAGTTGAAAAGTGAATCGTCTAGACCTGGGCTGCTACGCACAGACGCTTGTCATTGACCGATCACCTACTCCGTACCTGACTTCCACTGGCAGACCCTTGACTCACACATGGAGCCGCGACGCAGGTACACATTTCATGCGAACCACATGGGAACAACAATCTCGAATCATAGGCCATTGAACATCTATCCCGTCCGTAATTCACAGCCGGAGCAAGGATAAGGCATCTATGGTCTTCATAACACGTATGCTGTCGACAACTAATATTCTTTTCCCTCTTGAAGAAAATCCCCGGCCTCTGACCGCTTATGCAGGGCGGATCGCAATCTAAACTTAAGATGCCACTCCACGCCCATATTAAGTATTCTTTCTTCTGGCGGCACATAACAAGAAACTCCCAAGTAGTGAACTGGTTCGACAAAGAGCCTTGAAGTAGACCGTCGTTAGAATACCAAAGCACCCAACGTCCAGCTGTCAGGTGACCTCGGAGGTGAGCAATCACCAATTATTCAATGAGATGAGCGACTCGAAATACCAACAGACCGCAAACCCCGTGACAAATTATCCGTTTGGTATGAAAGAGCAGGATCGACGATTACCCGTAGCCAATGGTACGGTACAACTTGTAGAATCTTTTACTCATATTCTGCCTTAACGCTAGTAAGTGTCACTCTAGTCGATCGTATTATGAAGAATATCTTACCTGAACATTCTAGGATCGTAAGAGAGGCGAAAGAATGCATGCCGAAGTGCGTGAGAGAGCTCATTTCTTTCATCACCAGTGAATGTAACAGCAAAGCCTGCGTAGCAAGATGTAGACGTAGATGTATCTGGTTCAAGTCTCTACATTGGCTGTGCCTCGCGTGAATTCAGTGCTCCCTTGGATTATGAGGAAACAAGCTGTAATGGCGAATGAGTACCTGTGTTACCTATAGCCTTACGGTTGCTACAGAGGATGTTGGCAAGTCCTGCCTGGCATGAATAGTTTCGCTCAGCTGAGCTCATTTCGAGCAACTACTTTCGATGTCCGAGGGCCCCCATTTACTTCATTTTCTCATGAAAAAGCTAGCAATGTTATTACTTACCGCTTCACATATTTACATCCTGTTTCCTGTTACTGATGGTCCGCTGATGATTGTTCGGTTATGCGAAGGGAACGGGTCATCACTGTGATGAGGCCCAACACGGCCCCATGCTTGACCTGCAAAGTAAGATGCTATATTTCCCCAAGTCCTCCTTTAGTAATGATGATGGATTTACCGACCCATGCAATGATACGGTAGGTTCGTGTCTGTGAGGGTATGATGGCCATCCGCCTGGCGTCTGTGCCGACTACTTACGAAGCGGTATGGTATTTGTTATCTGGGCACTTGTGTATATTTGGACTAATTATCTCGAGAGAACCCGCGAATTTCGAGCGGTGAACTAACTACTCACCGTATTTCTCATGGGAATCCCTGGTGGTTATGGGTGGAGGACATGGTCGAGCTGTGAACTCGTGTACTTTGGGAAACTTTCTGTAGACGGCTAGGAGATTCTACGGAAATCACGCAGTCTCACACTGATGCATTGGGACATTTGACAACACATCTGATCTATGTCGTTAGCTCACAGCTTTCAAGCCTCGAAATAATTCGCCTTCCAAGAGTTTTCCAGCCCAACCCACGGACGCGTGGATATGAGCAGGGTACGCCATGATCATGAGTTGTGTTAGACGACGCCCAGACGCCAGGATGCTCATCAATCCTAGTGCCAGATCTAAGGCTAGCTCAGAGAGCCCAAGTATAAAAGTAAGAATGACAACCTCAACTTCTGTCGTCAATCAATCAAAGACAAAACACCAAACCTCAATCTCTTAATCAAATATGGAAGTTATCACCGCTCCCAAGTGGAGATGTTGCCATGTAAGTAACCTTCCTACTGCTTGATAACCACTCTAATTGAGTCAAGTGTCAACACCAGAATGAAGGAGACGTGCAAGTCTGCCACAATGACAAGTGTGAATTCACTCATAAAAACCGGGAGTGGACGAAACAGCATTATCGGTGTTGTGAATGCCAAACCACCGAGAGCAATTAGCAGACTGGCTGATGTAGCGCCTTTCCACGGGAGATGATATGTGTTGGTCGTCGAAAGGAGGGTAGGCTTTGAGTATTTTGAAAGCCGGCTGCATGATCCCTTGCGAATTGATGATGAAGCTGCGGCGCCCCTCAACACATGCCTACTGGTTAGATAAACACATTTCGATTCTCGCTACCTACATTTGAACCCTAACCCTACATTTGAAGACATTATATCACGATACTTTTCAATTTTAACGATGGTATTGCTTCACACAATTCTCTCCTTTGGTGCAATGCCACAAATAACCTCCTAATGAGGCAGAGCCCTAAACCTGACAAAGAACGTGTTGTTTTAGAGTGTGTGGCGAAGGTGCTCAACACTGTACAATAGACATACCAGTCACAGATAACTGCAAAAGTTTTCTCATTTTGCGACCCATACGAGTCAGGAAGTTAAACGACTACGGCAACCTGATCCTTGAATCCGCGCACATTCACGAGTTGCACTGTTTGTATTCTGGAAGCTGCCAGTCGCTTCATAGCCAGTAAACCCCACCCCCCAAACCCCACCTTGACAGCTGTTGTATCGTAGCGGCAAAGGGGGTCGAAAACTGACTCATCTGAGTCATTGAATCTTCCTTTTCCAGGGAAAGAAAATCCTAAATGGGCTTCCCGTTGCTTCTAGAGGCTAGCCACCAAGAGATGATTCCAACAACCGATCAAATTGAGACTAGCAAGGAAATGAGATTCTTATATAGAAACTTAGGGATTCGGGTGCAAGTCTAGACCTGAATCGGTGCATTTCCAGCCAGCCGTAGCGGAGCGCGGCGGCAGCTTCAGCTTCCGGATTGTGCGGTGATCCGGGTAATACAGGTGAGCCTGATTCACGCCACGTCTTTGGTGTCCCTTGACAACTGCCAGAGCCTGCCCCACGCATGGTGTCTTCTCTTTGCGCCTCACAGACTACAAGGGATAACACTGTCTTGTAGAGTTACATGTCAGACAGTCCAAGTTCGCTCAAGTTCATATTCTCAGCTAGCGACGCGCGCGCCTCGCATCGATGTTACTAGTTTTTTAATGACACTATACTTGACAAGGCTACTAAAAGGGCACTGATATACGGCACCGAAACGCATGTGGTTTGTTCCTCATTGTAGCCAGTGTGCATCGCAACATACCAATGCCGCTCGACGTGGATGTTGTTCACGGTCTATTGTGTTCCATGTGATCATCAAGCATTGATCTCACCGGCGGTGACAAGATCCTGATGCTGACATACTGTCACCGTAGGCGAGGCAACAGCCTCCGCCTAGCTTGACCTCAAGGTCTTCCCCCTTTGCCTCTTCTTACTTGGCCTCTTGTGCCTCTTATGCCTCTTTGGTCTCTTTTTTAAGCTATCACCAGTCACCTAAATAGGGATATTTCATCTCGATGAGGAGACTTTCTTCGATCTTCATAGAGTGGACTTTTTTGACTATCCTCCGGGGAGGGGGCCCGTAGCTAGCTTGCCTTCGGCGACCCTTCGGCGACCTTGCCAGTGGCCTCCTCGAATTCAGGTCCATTTTGATTGGTGTATGATCAGGCATTGATTGCCAAAGCAGGAGAGGATACATGACCTTATTGTTTCAGGGACAAGGGACGATAGGTGACAGCCCCTTGTGTTGGTGCTTGCTCCATCAGTTCGAGCTTCTGTTCAAACCTTTTGTCTATCCACTCTCCTTGTCACCAAAGCTGAAGAAGAGAGGAAGGATACCGGGCTTGTGAGGAGCATGATGCATGTACGGGGTACATTGTATTCATTCTCACCGCCATATCGTGTCTGGCATTGGAGATATGAACCCAGCTAGTTCTCTCATTTTTATGCAGAATTTCCAACTTCGGCTTCTATTGACCGGTTTCCGTCTTGGATTGACAGGTCGTTCAATTTAGCTCATGCAATCAGCGGGGCCTGCACTCCAAAGACTTGCTCCAGCTGCCAGTGACAGGCACCAACTTCAGCCTCTTATAAAGTGATTCGGGTGAGACGGATGGACCCTGGTTCAAGCGGTATCCCTGTCAAGGAGCTGTCCTGTACGGAGTACGGATACTTTGCATTCGCCTGAGGGCACCACCCCTTGTTGCATTCTCATGCTCCGGACTTTTGGACGCACACGCCTCTGCCATGTTGTCTCTTCGCGGTCCTCGGATTTCAAGTGGTGAAACTGACCTATCGAATTACATGCCCGAGCTCGCTTAAGCTAGTTTCAAATGAGCCACTGTGAATTCTGGCGGTCTATGCTCGCTAGTTCCGGCCCAACTTAGTTGGTTTTCAAACCCCCTGCCGCTACCATGCAACGGCTGCTGAAATGAGGTTAGAAAGTGATGATGACTGCATGTCAGTATAAGGGGAAAAAAACATCCTAGGAACTTTATTGAATCTCTGTTGGGTTGACCAGACTATCATGTTTGCGTCGGCCACTCAAGTGGCCCCAATGCCCAAATGACAAGGATGTGACCAATTTTCAAACCCCCTACTGTCATCCTACGGCGGCAGCTTGCATGAAGTAGGAAAGTGCTGTGACATTGCCATGACAGTGGTGCCATCCCTAGCCGCGTTGTGGGTGGGTGGGTGGCATGAGAAAACATTGTGGCTCTGCGTTTCCTCGGCCTGATTCCAGCAGCATAAATAAATCGACACGGCCATGCTACCTGAGTCTTTCTAACAATCCAGACTTTCAATCCATTTTCCCTTCATCGAACCTTGTTTTCATTATGATTGAGTATCTTGCACCATCCCTCATGGGAGCTATGACTCCGTTCATCAACAACTTTTACGGGCAATTGGCCTGTGTGCTTGTTGTTGGATGGTGGCTCCGTTATTCTATCCTTGAGTGGCTGCCTTCAGTAAAGATACCAGAGCACGACATCTACAGCCGAATAATGTTTGTCTGGACTTCCAGATCCAGGCCTGATCTGAGCAGCTATTCTTGCACCTTGTACCAAAGTCCAGTGACCATGAACATGGCACGTTACTTCCACATTGCATCAGACCCAGTGGAGCGAGACATCGACGAGATGTTTTGGGTTCCACGCGGACCGAAGCTGTTCGTCTACGACGGCAATGTCTTCATTTTTTGCCCGGAAAATCTTCTCATATATACACTCTGGATAACAATAAACCTGCCCAAAGATTCGCTGAAACTGAACTGGCGAAATACCTCAAGAACAACAAGCTTCAGCAACACACGGCTCACTACGATAGGTGGGTTGATCAGCCGCGGCCGAAGCGACTGGCAGAGACATACCATCATGAACATTTGAACGCGATGATAGCGGAAGTCAGAGACTTCTTTGACGCAGGGTCTAAGTACGCCAAAGAAGGCAGAAAGTGGAAAAGGGTTTACCTTCTACATGGAGCCCCTGGAACTGGAAAAACCGCCATGCCAGATGTGATTGCCTCGGTATTGGATGTCCCACTCTATCGCCACGCATGTGGGAGCACTGAAGATCAGTTCAGGCAACTGATCAATGCTACGCGACCTAAATCTTTGGTTGTTTTCGACGAGATTGATCAGTTGAGTGCTGCACAACCTGACAAAGGTGGTGATGATACTGAAGGTTCGGAAAGGCAGCCGATCAAGAAACAGACACTTCAGTCTTGGCTCTGTGGCGAGTTAGGTGCTGAGGGCACCGTAATCTTCTTGACCACGAATCACTTGAGAAAGATTGACGAGGTCATTCGACGTCCTCAGAGAGTGGACAAGATGCTCCATTTTCCAGCAGAGCTCACGAAAGGTACCATAAACAAGATCTTGCAAATTCGTTATGACAACGAGAACGCGGATTGCGGCCTTCAGGAAAACATATTCAGAGGAAGGACTGCGGGAGGCCTGCACCAGTTTCTCGATAACAAGGACTACGAATCCGCTATCAAACATTTGGGAAAATGGCTACTAGAACAACCTGCAGTAGAGCATCGAGAAGCATCGCTCAAAGACGTGGATGTCTCCGGGTCAAATGGAATACACACAGAGGATGCAAGTTCAAAGTTGTTATAAGCGGATGCAATGGTACCGAGACCCCATTACTTCAGTGGAATCGCTCAAGGACGATTTTCCTTCCCCTAGGTGGTACCAAAACTATTGCGGAAAACCATGTCTTGTTCCGAACTTCAAGATAGCTGATGATGGTGGAGGGCCTCCATGCCCCCTTATTGAACGTCCTGGGCTTCAAGGGTGACTACGACAGATCCACTGGCCTGTCGTCCCTCGCCCCTCGATATCGTATTCGTCGCTTCTTGGAGTTCGGAAAGGCGGTTGGCAAGATCTTTGAAGCTGAAGGAGGTTGCAAGACTAATATTGCATAAGAAAAGGAGTTGGCGACAATAAGGAGAAGAAAAATAAATTTTTAAAAAAGCAGAACATAAAGTGGTACCCAATGTCGAATTGACGTGATTGCATGTGTTTTCACTGATCTGCTAAGACCCTAGGCGTTACAGTGATGAAGGACATGTAAAGCAAACCAAACAGCCCTTCAAGCCTCTGGAAACAAGAAGAACGATGGCACATCTGGCTGTCAGGTTGGGTCTATAAGGCTGTCTTTTCAGTCCAGCTGTACTTGTCGTGGGCATGAAGATTTTGGATACGTCTCGTATTCCTGACCTTGGATTATAACCTCTTATCAGGCTGGCCAGGGTTGTTATCACGCCAAATCTCCCCTAGAGACTTGAGTCCCAAACCTGCGAAATTTTATTTACCGGTTGTCTGGGACCACCAAGCGTACCCGGCATCAGTACGTACACGTCAGTCGCTCAGCCATAACAGCAAGACTTGCTCTCGTGACTACTTCCGCCCATTCATCTTTGGAGAGGATCAGTCGGCCCTGCTTTTTTCATGTATGGCCAGTGCCTCACAATGCCCATAACTCGTCCATATCACTCCTAAAGATCTCGACTTGAGCCTGGGTCTCTACTAGAGTACCCATTGCATGAGAAGAGAACAGCGCGCCTACTCGGTTGTTTCACGACTCGTACTCATCGGACGAACCACCATCGAAATACAGCTTCGACGAGGTACGAATTTCGACTACGTCGAAATCCTCGGGACGTGTAATGGTCGGTTCGTTCAGATCTTGCCTGTGGCTACTCAGCTAATTGGCGACTTCTTCGACCTCAAGACCGACGAGAAGAGACGCATTTGGTTCAGTGTGCCTGGGGTCTTATCGGTGCCGAAGCTTGGGCCAAGCAAGATGATGCCGCAAATCATCGAGCGCGACAGCGGCTTTAGGGTCGCCTTTGTTGATCCTTCTTTCCACGCTGTCAAACTCGAGGAAGAGGGGGGGAGATTGGCCAGGGCAGAGGAAATGCGGAAAGATGAGGAGAGACAGAACGAGGAGAATAGGGCTGAGGCTGCTCCAGGCACGGCTGCAGTTGTTGATGCGGAGACTGAGGGCAATGCAGAGGAGGCCCATGACTTTCGGTGCCCCTGTGTTGTTGACGTGGTCAATTGGGTCCTGGGATTTTTTATGTTGGTGTTCAATCGTGTCATTGGACTGACTCGCTTCAGAAATCTTGGTAGCGGAACGGAGCCGACCGGCACACTCAGCATAATAGCAGAGAATGGCGATGATGATGACGCGACTTCGACTGTCGATCTGGAGCTGAGGAAGGCCACCCGTACTGCGAAGACCATCGCGGCTGTTGAGGAGCTACTGAGTACTGATGATTACGAGCCTGCTGAGTCCGAGGCATAGACGACACTTCCAGTGCAAGGCGTGAACGATGTGGAACATACAAGGGACAGCAACGCAGGTCCGGATGTAGAGGCAGTTGCAGCCGCAGCCTCCGTCGATGATCCAGCCTTGAGCACGGTTGAGTTTACCCAGGAGGTGCTCGACAATGGGCGCAAACCAGAGAAACACGATATTGCCATCAAACTCTGGAGGACTTCGATCAAGGTGCCTGACGCAGACGAGGACGCGGAGGGATTGTCACTCGTTAGCGGCGACAGGCTCAGAGACGATGAGTCGGATTAAACAGCCTAATCGGGCAAGTTCGAGACAAGGTCAATGGCCTCGTGTTGGTTCTTCAATTAATGGGGATCATCTGTGTTGATTCGAGGGGATATGCGAGGAGGGCATGCATTCAAACACTGGGCGGCGAAGACAAGCACGGGATCTGTTACAAGCGATAGTTCTCTAAGACGATTGTGTAGTGAATGATGAACACGCTGGCGAAGACGCAACTTGGCCATGCAATACTGTTCGTGTAGCTCTGTCCGCAATCTCGCTGCGAGCCTACCTGTCAGAACGATTGGGACAAAAAGGAGAAGTAAAGCGGCGAAACTTGGCTGTACAACCGAAGCAACATGCGCTATTCCCTCGTATATCAAACAATAATTGTTGATAGAAGGTCAAGGATAGAAGAAATCAACCAGTGCTATTCCTATTGACCCATCTGACGCTCGCGTATATTTCTTGACATCCCTATGTATCGTCAGATTAACATAGTGCCTACAGTCAGCCAACAAAGGTCTCTCCTTTGGCTGCGTCTTATGCTTGGGCTCATCACTATTATTCTCCTAACCAGCACGTTAACAATCTCATTTCTACGGGTCTTCCGATTATGGGCAACGTCTGGAGCTTCTGAGTGTTTGGCAGCATTGATCGTGGGTTTCGGGTCTTCTGTGCAAAGCCGCCAGTGTTGCCATTTCTTCATCCCGTCTCGGTCTCGTCTCGTGTACAATGCCATCTCCCAGGCTTTCTATGTGTGTGCTTGCTGGTTGGTACGACTCTGTTTTGGAAGATGCTGCTGACTGGCAGTGCAATGCACTCTTTTTGAACTCGGCCACTGAAAGATTATGTATATAACGATGGTAGGATGCGAAGATCGGTACGAATGACTAAATATGTTCTATATGAGATTTGAGTTCTTCCCACGTACTAAACTCCTCCACCTCGACACCCTTTCCCTTCAAGCTCTTTCGAATACCTTCAGAAATAAGTTCATGGCAAAATAGTTTCGTTACCTCCACAGGTTCAGTATCTCCAGACTCTTCGGTAGAGTCATTAACAGGCGCAAAAGCCTTGATTCCCGGGAAATCCGAAACCGGTCGAGGGCCATATGAGATTGTCTCAGATGGCATTTGGAGCTCTATCATATCACCATCATACCATGTAATCTTAGGGTTCACCATCACTGTCGAATTTACCTGCCATTTCGCGACCTCGGTTGCCTGTTCGGGGTTGGGTCGGCAAAGAACGACAGGTATTCCAGACGCTTGAGCCTCTAAAGTGTGAGGATGGGCTTGAGTCCCTGTCGTCTCGGGCATTGCTTCAGTCTCTTATCTCTCTGCTAATCCTCAGGTAGGTAGAAGAATACATACAGTAGCAATTTTCAATGTCCTCGGATCGCCGTTCATGGTCGCCAAAAGTGAAGAGATAGGATACTTCTGAAGCCACATGTTTCAGGGTTTCCAGTAGGAAGGCCGATATTGCGATCAAAGCTTTGAGCATTTTGCTCGCGGGCTGATTTCTGACGAGAATTCAGACGACAGTGTTTGATCTTCGTCACGATCTTAGTTACTTCGCAAATATGATAAAACAATGATAATAAATTAGAGGGTTCTAAACAGAGGCTTGGTAAATCTTGGAGTAGTGTTGGCTTGATATCGATGCAGTCGCCATAGAGTCTGTTCACTCCTCGGTGGTCCATCCTCTCAAGTAGTTAATTTAGCACTAGTACGCATGCCTTTCTTTTCTTTTTCCCCTTCGGCTGAGTATACCCTTACTTAGAGTTTTGCATCTCATTTATGCATGCCTGCAAACACCTTCTCCACTACTACGCCCCGCTCTTTGTCCTCGACGAGCAGTGGCGTGGGTCCCTGTAGCGAAGGCCCGTGGGTTCGTTTCTTCAGTCAGAGTAGTCATGATCACCACTCGGCCTGGGAGGGCAGGGGTGCTTCCGACCTGATCATCTCGGACGTGCTTGTATGATGGCCGAAAACACGACTTCAATAGCTGTTTGGGTGCTTTGAGCCCACAGAACCCGAAGGCAGTCACTACTTCGATTAGCCCAATGGAGAGACACGGAGAGACGAACGGCCGGTTCAATTAAAAGCGTAGAGACAGAAAGCATAATCGCTGCAGCTGCTAATTCACATGCAACAGCAACCGGCTTTTATTAGAGTCCCTGCTTCGCCGTAGTGATTTGTATATAGTGGCTATCTGGAAACATTCCCATTCTTGATTCGTAGCATTCTCACTCGGTCGAGCCTGTTTGAAGTATACGAGGAGGCTATCTGGAATAACTCGACCACGGCTTCGTCGTTTCAAGCTTCCGTGGTACAGCTCACGGCAGATGAGCGTTGACCTTGGCATCAATCCCAAATTATTATCAGCAGGAGAAGATAGGGACAAGGTTGCTAGCTAGACATTCAACGCGATCTTCGAAGCTTAGGTACCATTTGTATTAATATTAGGCAGTGAGCATTCACCATCCTCGGGTGTGGAAGAGGTCGGCGGCCTGGTGACCAAATGGTGGGTTCCAGCTGCTCGCCTTCACATCCTCGCTCTTCTTCATATAAGGCTTCTCAGGGTACTGCTTTAGGTTGCCCACATCTTTTGATTGACCTTTTCGCTTGAGGACAGCATTGACCGTCGACGACTTCACTTGTCGCTCCCAGAGGAGGTGGCGTCGAAGAGACTCGGTCAATTCAGTCGCCAACATGTTGCGACGAGTGGTGCGAGGTGACAGCGCAACTTGAGGCTGAATGTGATTGGGGCCAGTCATGATGGGTTGAGCCCTAGAACGAGGCACCTCATGAAAAGGCTTGACACCTGGACCACGCATGCCCTTCATCATCAGGGGAGCCTCGTCAGAATCATTAGGCGAGGCACCCAATGATGGGCCGTGGGCCATACGAGATCGTGGAATGGCTAGCATCGATTGAGAAGCGTGGTTGCCAAGAGTACGCGCGCAATCATTCTGAGCAAGCATGAGAGTAATGAGTGATTGTCGCGAGGCCAAGTTGAGCTTGGAGTCCACCCGCTGGAAGAACTTATTGTCCATGCCGGATTTGCCGCTCTCCTCCGTTGCGTCCTCCCAATCCGAAGAGTCGTCATCATCATCAATGGCGCTCTCGTCGATATAGTCGTCGGTATCCGAGTCCACAGCAGCCTCATCATCTATTGTTCGTGTCATAACATTGTTACCGAAGGAGGCCTGTCTCTTGTGTGTAGAGATGAAAGGGTCAGCCCGTGATGAACCCATGGCGCTCTGAAGACAGCCATCCTCTTCAGAGGAGCCGCCGATCTGAAACACGGGCTTCCTGGCAATGGGCCTGAGACTCTGGCCCTGTTTACTAGACACAGGCGATGCCTGAGACTCCTGAATCTCGTCTGATGATGGAGCAGCACCGAGAATAGTTTGAGGGGGAGGAATCTGGGAAGGCCAAAAGCCACGCATGAGGCTTTGGGACGAAGGTTGCGATGAGCCCTTCGAAGCTGTGATGGACTTGGCAGGCAATTTCGACTCGGCTGTATTGAAATCAGATCGCTCGAGAGCTGGAGGAACTGGCAGGGGCTCCTTGGTGACAGGAGCATCATGACGAGGGGCTGCCAGAGGACCCTTGTCCCCAGCAATGGAAACAGCCATCTTCCCAAAGTCGTCGGAGCTGATATGCCGTTCACGTTTGCTTCGGGTGCTTGCACAAGAGACCTGACATTGGACACGAGGGCGCGCAATCTCCAGTTGTGCTGGCACTGGAGGAGATTCAACGGCCTCTTCGTCTAGAAGAGACTCAACACTGCCAGATAGTTCAGGCAGATCAGATATCCCCGTCTCGGAAGCAATATTCTCAGGAAGAGTCTGAGTGGTAGGGGAAGTCTTTTCCTCGTTGTCAACAACAAAGCTCTCTCTTTACCAAAGTCGCCAGCAGATGTTCTGTAGTCTTCGTCCCTGTTTAACGGAGTCTGCGCATTTAGAGAAGACTGGCTAGTCAGCATCTATCGTGAGATACGCATAGGATATAGGTTACCATTCCACATGCTGTGTAAGTGAGCAAGATTTCCAGTGTCGACCTTGTGGATGACATTCACATCCACTGTCAAAACATGAGTATCTAGCCGACAATTCATTCAATGAAGCATTGAATAGTGTAGGGAAGAGTCGTCTACGAAAGGAGCGTTGATAAGGTCGAAAATTATGAATGAAATAATGCAGCAATGATGATAGACAGCTAAACATGCTGGCTGGGTACTCACACCATATAAGTCAAGCATGCCATACCGAGACACGTTGGTGTGAACCACCAGAAGCAAAAACAAAGAGGATGGTAGATGTCGCCCCTTGCAAGTCAATGCATCTTCAATTGCTCAATCGTATCTCACACTGCGCCAAACCGGAAAGGGGCTTGTTTCTGGCTCGATTTTGGCCTACCGGGTAGGTTTCCCCGTCCGGGTGACACCATCTTCATGGCTTTAGCAAATGCACAAAGCTTGGACATTGGTACATCCCTGCATAACGTAGTCTTGAGATAACAGCAACGGTAATTGGCTAGACTCTTGGGCAAGGAAACAGCAAGACGCCGGCACTCCGGGATATGAGAGGCACGTATATACAAGCGTAGATACCGTTTCATGGACAATCTCGCCAGACGCTCGATCCTCTTCGTTTCCGAATGCCGTGGTAGCTAAATGGTTAGCAGTAACGGTCATCAACAGGGTCCGAACGGCGGCGCCGGATGTTTGCCCTGAATGCGGGCCGCCCCCACGTCCCGTGTTCCACATATTGATCTTCCCCATCATGCCGAATGGGGACTGGTATGCACACTAGATGGGAGCCATGAAGGCGGATGGTACTTCGTCATGTTAGCGCAGTTTTCTCCCCCTACGGGCCATAGGGATCAGCTGCTAATCGCGCAGGCGCATCAACTGCAAGTCGAAATTGACCTGGCTAGTCCGAGACGGCCTGGGGAGAGGTCTCGACTCACAACAGAGCAATGTACGTCACCTCTGAGCCCAGATAACACTATTAGGCGAGAGCTGTTTATAAACCATGCAGACGGTCCGATGCGGGAGCGAGCTTTGGCGGCGCTATACTTCGAGTCGTACATTCCACAGCGTGCTGAAGGGGCAGGCAACACATCAAGATAAATTTGCCGGGGCTCTCAGGGGAGCGTTCGGCATCCTGGCTACATTGCGATCCGATTTCTTTGGGATTCAGATCATGTAGAAGCGCGAGATTAGGTATTAGGACAGAATCAAAACCTCTTCTTTAGATCTAGATAGTTTGTTGAATATTGCTGAAGCTCACCAATTTGTACCTCGGCATCGCGTACATTTCGCGCCAAAACGATAGATAACCGCGCTGGCGGGGCACGCTTACACTAAAGATCATGAAGTTCCAAATTGTTTTTCTAATAGATTAGTCCTCACATATTGTTTTACCAGAGTTTTGTGCCAAGAAAAGCAGAATCTTTTTCATGAATTCCGAGTTTCCTAAGGAACCTGCATGTTGGCTAGCTGGAAACTTCGAGGTCTCGCTCTTCAGTCTACCCTACACAAGTCACCGTGATGATGGCCATAGCTGTTAACCGGTTTTCAGCCGGAAAATCGGTTCGCCCTTTTGGAGACCATCCGCGAAACATGTTGGCCAAGCTGTTGACTACCCACGGCACGAATGCCTTCCATGCCATTCTTCAATTAGCTCTCTGACACATGACATCTACTCTATTGAATATTCCCTCTCGAGCGACATCGAAATGCGACGAAGCTTCCTCCCTATCAAGCGACAGGCAACCCCGTCGCCCAAGATGCGGCTCACACGCTAGCATCTCGACACAAACACCGAGCGTTGCCGCATCTCCAGCTCGGATCACGCTGGCCTCAACGCGTTCTGCACGCTGTGAAGGCCACTGTTCACCACTCTGATACATGGTCGATTATAGCTGGAAGGTCAGTCACGCCTCTCAAGACAACGCTTCTTCATCGCATCCACGTGTAGAGTCGCAGAGCAAGATAACAGCTCCTTAGGACAGCTTACTTCGCGACAGCCCACTACACAAGCTTAGCTCGTTCTCGACTTCATCCCTGGCCAGCCCCTCGATCTGCAAGCGTTAACGAACGATATGCCGATGCGACGGAAACACTTCTATACCTAGCTGATTGAGATGATGGCTTAATTACGGAATCTGGAGTTCACGGCGTCGGCCTCGCTGATGCCATGGAATCAAGTCTTCGAAAGGCAACTCGTTAAACAATTCCTTCTCGGATCATGACGAGTAGCTGTTAGCCGGTATTAAGCCGGTTTCGGCCGGACACCTTTTGGGGCCATCCACAAATGTGCACTCTAGAATTTTCCTCGATGGAATTGTAGAGTGATAGCATATGCAATAAGTTGTGCGGACTCCGCTAGCTGGTAGTCGAACAAACTATATCTCTCTTTTCATACACACGAAGTGCTTTTGACTGACTATCAACGCCATTCCTCAACTTGTTCCAATGCGTGGCGTCGAGTCTACCAAACATCGCGGTTGATTGTCGACCCCCTCCCTAATGGGCTACATAGAGCCGCTTAGCAATTCCATTGGGTAGCATCCACGTGATAAGTGGATCGATAACTGGGCTGAGCTCCAAGATTAGCCAGCCACCAGGACTCTACACTGTCATCTATTGCCATCACCGTCGCAATGAATTTTCCTCGGAATTGCCCTTGTTCCTTTTCATGCAGTGTTGTACTCCTTTCATGCCAGGACGCGATCGACCATTTAGACGAACTGAAGGTGGGCTTTGTAATGCGCTTGCTTTATGCCACGGACCTGACATGGCCCAGTCTAGGTGTGACGCTCTCCACGCCTTGGTCACTACAGGCAAAAAGGAACCTCCCCAATCACCTCTTAATGGAAATAACGTCGCTCCCTGCCCGTATTGCGATTACTTTCCTCAGACTTCAAAACAAAGTGACGCTGATCGACATATTTGGACACGTATGAATCTCCAAGCCGTATTGTTTATAGGTTCGAGCTGATCCACCTAGATTACAAAGGGGCTTTGTGTTCTGACTGTCAAGGCGATTTCAGTAGTGGCTTTTTGTATATCAAACACAAGTGCAAAGGCGTCGTGACTAGGCCCTCGGTAAAAAGAAAACGGGAAGAAGAGGTTACGGAGATTGGGTTGAAACCTAATATAAAACGAAAACGTCTGTCGAAAAGTTCTCATTCGAGGGTTGTAACGACAGAAAAACAAGCTGCTGATTCAAGGGGAGGGAGGATTGGAACGGAAGAAGAGGCTGAGAAAAACTTCGAAATCCAATCAATCTGGCAGAAGATGATGCAGCAAAACCAAGATATGTGATAATTCAGCCATCCAATCGAGCTATAGGCAACCCGAAAATTATAGTTGTTATTTTCTTGTCATGGTGAACATTTTGGAGTATCCGTCCAACATCTTGTGTCCAAGCGATGGGGAAATGCAAAGACTTGAACTGGTAAGTAGAATATAATGAGAGGGGGCAGAAGTCCTTACACGCCACCAAGTTCTGTTTTGACATCCTCTTTATCGTACGATGCTAATACCTCGTCTTTCAATTCAAGGGCGCCATTCCCATACGCCGATTTTATCTCCTTCTTGTCTCGATGGGAGCCAACGGCACAGAATGCGTGCGACTGAGGAGCGAGCATGTAGAGAATTATTGAATCTTTTTGAGGTGAGGAAAGATTGTCCCAGGCATAAAAGCCATAACATTTGCCCCAGGCCCAGGTGACTTTCGAGTTCTCACAGTGATCTTCTAGGAGCTTCGCTAGTAACTGAGAAAGATTAATATGAGTACTTGATGTAGCGATGCAATACTAACGGGGTTGGAATGGAGGGAATCGTTAAAGCGTTGGAAGACTACACTCTTTATGCGTTTGCAGTCATACGCCTCTTTGACGATTGCCCCGACATCTTCTATCTCTTGAAAGAAGAAGCCGCGATCTTGAAAATGCTGACGTACATTGTCAGGAGTTATTCGATCGTCGAGCGGCATCGTGAAATTTCTCATGGTAATAGTCGGTGATTCGTGAAGTTTTGTTGTTTTGCGCGGGGTAGACTTGACGTCATAGAGTTTAGATGGGGTTGATTATGACCCATATGTACTTACTGAGTTATTTCAAATACATACAATGAGGGATTTTCTCGTGTCTGAAGGCCAGAGACTTCACTTTTATTAACTTCCTATTGCTCGAGGTTCAAAATAAACACTGGTACGGCCACCATCGCATGTGCATACAAGATATAGTTCTAACACTGGCGTAGGTTGAACATCTGCCTCAACACAAAATGCCAGGATCAGGGTGCCAAAACTGCACAGGTGGAAAGACTGATGAAGGCACTGATTGTAGCTTCTGCAACCCCCAAGGGGGTAAGTGAGATGGGATTTACTATAGTCAGCATATGCACATCATAGCGGGTTCATTAGTACACAGCCACGAGAATGAGAACAAATTGAAGTTTGTTAATGTTTCTAAACTTACGCCCTGCCACTGAAATATTCTCTGGTGCTCTCTGGTGCTCTCTGGTGCTCTTTGGTGCTCTTTGGTGCTCTTTGGT